GGAGACTTAAGACAATCTTGAACCAATCTTACTCCTTATGGGAAGTAAATGGACATAGTCCAATCAGAGGTTAAGTCAGACTTGTTCTAGAATTGAGAGACTTTTGGTGCTTGTCTTCTACCAATTTCAACTGTCGGGTCTATGCCAAAACTTTTGCAACGCACTATCTTTGATCATTTCCCCATTTACCTATCTTTCGATGGGATTAAATGAGGTTCTTGTCCTTTTAGGTTCAAGGATAAATAATTAGGAGTTTTTGGTTTTTGTGGCAAGATCAGTGAATGGTGGGAGGGATAAAGGTGGATGGTAATACTAGCTTCAGAGTGGTTTAGAAGATGAGGGAGGTGAAGTCCGAAATTAAGAAGAGGTGCAAGAAGGACGAGGGGAGGGTAAAGCTACCATCACTCAGTCTCTACTATAATATCTTGAGGCCTTAGAAAAGTTGGAAGGGGAGGGGCGGCTTGTCCACTAAAGATTTGGCTCACAAGGAATCTGTAAAGTTTTAAGTGATAAATAGATTGCAAATGGAGAAGATCTCATGAAGACACAAATCAAGAGCAAGATGGATTAAGGAGGGTGATAGATACGAAATTTTTCGACTTCATGGAAGATCATCACAAGAAAATCAATTATGTGGAGGAGATCAAGATAGATGGCCGTTTAGTGAAGGATAATGAGTAGCTTAAGGAGGGGGTCATGAAATTCTTTTATAGGTTAGACCATGAGGAATTCAGCTAGAAGCTTAAGCTGAATGGTTTGACTTTTACGTATTTGGATGAACGGAAGTGAGAATCGCTTAGAAGAGAGTTCACTGAGAAGGAGATTCTAGAGGGACTCATACACTTTAGGAAGGATAAAGCCCTTGGATTCAATGGTTTGAACATGAGTTTTTTATAGGAATTTTCCACGTGATGAAAAAAAAATATTTTTGGGCTTTTTAAGGAGTTCCATTCTAAAGATTGAAGGAGCAACAAACATTAAGGATTTCAGATCTATCAATTTAGTTGAAAGTGGTTATAAACTCATTATGAAAGTGCTGAAGAAGATAATAGCTAAGGATATGCATAAGGTGGTAGGCGAGTGTCAACATGTTTTTTGTGGAAGACAGACAGATCTTGGATGCAGATCTTGTTGTTAATGACATTTTAGATGATTTGCTTCACAAGAATGAAGAGGGTGTTTTATGCAAACATGATGCAAAGAAAGTCTATGACCATGTAAATTAGGACTTTCTTGATTATATGCTGAGGTAATTGGGATTCAACAACAAATGGTGTAGGTGGATAAATTCATGTATCTCTACGTCCTCTTTGTAATCATGGTGAGTAGGGATCATCATCGTTTGTCAAAACCTCTAAAGCCTTAAACAAGGCGAACCCTCATCCCATATGCTATTTATAATTGTTATAGAAGCTCTCAATAAAATGTTATTAAGGATTATAGAGTGTAGTTGTTTAAAAGTGGTTGAGGGCAAACATGTGAAGGAGATAACTCATTTTTTGCAAAGGACACTTTGTTATTTTCTGAATAGGACGAGAGGATTATTAAAAAAAAAATGAACAGGACAAGAGGACTATACTTAACTTTAGATGCATTTTGCTGAATTTTCAAGCTCTCTCTGAACTCAATATCAATTTAGTCAAGTTTGAATTGGTGAGATTGAGTGTTGGAAGGGATGCTCTTAGATTGGGGAAAGTTTTGGGGTGTAAAAGTATGGAGTTGCTGATTAAAACTTGGGGATACCATTGGAGGTTAAATATAAAGATGTGGCAATTCGGGACCCTGCGGTAGCGAAATTTTAGGGAAGATTGACAAGATGAAAGAGAAACCCCATGTTTAAAGGGTGAGACTCAACTCATAAAATTAAGATGATCAATATCCCCATTTATGACATGTTCCTTTTGACAAAGTCCTTGCAAGTGTAGTCAAGTGATTAGAATCAATCCAATGTAGGTTCTTATGAGGCAACTCGGAGGATAGAAAAAGTTATTACTTGATTGTGTGGGATGAGGTTAAAAAGGCTATATATATGGAAAATTTGGGGTTGAGATCTTTGATGGAGATGAATTTGGCTCTACAGAGGAAATGACTCTGAAAATTCAGGAATAAAAATGATAGTCTATGATGGAGGGTGATCAAGTGAAGTTTGGGACCGTGGATCGAGGTTGGTATACCATATTACAAGGTAGACCTCATGGAAAGAGAATATGGATGAAATATGCATGGGTAAGAATGAATTCTTGGATTGTATTAGTTGGAGGGTTGGTAATAGGGACGACATGGTTTCTGGTATGATGCTTGGTTAAGTGGGGGGTCGTTCAAAGTACTATTTCTTCATATCTATGCTATTGCACGACATAAGAATATCGCGATCTACGAGTTGTATAAAGCTATCGAGGGAGAAGGGGAGTGACATGTGGAATTTATGAGAAAACTTAATAATTGGGAAGTAAATGACAATGAGACTCTCTAAACTCTTTCTATCGCTACAATTAATGAGAGTAACGATCAACTAATTTGGAGACTCAATGTTAGATGGTCCTTGGTCAGGTATTTTTACAGTCATTTGATTAAAAATGACACCACGAACATCAGTTTTCCTTTTTGGGAAATTTGAAGGTTAATGCTCCATCTAGAGTTACTTTCGTTGCTTGGAAAGTAGGTCAATGATGTATTCGTACTCTTGACAAGCTTATTAGGAGGGGAAAATATTGGTGAATTGATGTTTTTTATTTAAAGGGAGGCAGAATCATGTAATCACATTCTTCTTGGGTGCCTGCTTATGTATAAATTGTGAACCTCGGCTTATGAGTTATTAGACATTAATTGAGTGATGACTTGTTCAGAGAGGGAAAAGATTTGCGCGTGGAAGGGTATTAGTAGAGGGAAGAAACATGCTAGTTTCATTCGCCTTACTACTTTTTTGGTGGTATGGAAAGAGAGAAACAAGAGAGCTTTTGAGGGAGTAGAAAATGGTTTTGATAGGGTTAGAGATAGATAGTTTCAAACCCTGAGTTTTTTATTTATGGGTCATCCTCTTTATTCAATAGATGATTTTGATAATTTTATTGATATTTTTATTGACATGTGAATATTTTATACATGGGTTGACACCACTTTGACACTTATGAATGAATCATACCATACTTTTTATTTCAAAAAAGAAAAAAGCAGTTTTGCATTATCAATTTCTGATGAAGGGATGAGAGATTACTTTGACTTAAATTTATCAAGGTCAAGTTATGGTTGGGAGATGTAAATAGGTGGGAAGCAATTTCTTTCTATAGCTACTATAGATGATGTACTGAGATAATGTTTACCTGATCATATACCCTTTTGCAAATTGCACGATAATTATAAAAATGTAGCCAGCTGCAAAATGCCTTATCTGAAAAATATATTTGGTGTAGTAGTTTAGTTTTATAATTTTGACATTTCAGAATTATATAGAACTTGACAATTTCTTTTGCAATAATAAATTTGAGTGGAGAAGGTTAGGCCTTGTTTGGTTATAGGAAGTTGTTTTGGTTTTTATTTTCTAAATTCTTATGTGTACATGAGAATGTGTAATTGTTGGAACGGATAACAAGGTTTGGGAAAGGCTATTGAAAATAAATCAAGAGTTTGAAAACAATTTTTTATTGTTTTCAAATTCATTCCATATTTTCATTATCAGTTCCGAATCTTATTTTCATTTTTAATAACTATTTGTACTTTTTATACAAACATATATTAAGTTATACAAAAACTCAAGACTGTTCGTGATTAACCGTAGTGATTATAAATATATGCTGGTTTCTGAATAAACTGTGCTTTAGAAGATGAAGTTTCACCTATCAACTTGGTTTTCCTCTCCATTCTAACTTTTTGATATTTTGATAGAATTACGTGATTGTTTTATCTCAAAGCAACTATGGATGTCTAAGAGATCTTACTTATGGTGATTCTGAATAGAACTTTTCTTTGGAAGATGAACTCTTACCCATAAGCTTGGTCTGTGTCCAATTAACTTCTTTTTGTATTGGGTTCATAAAATTGCCCTCTGTTCTTACCATGCTGCGAGACTGGTTTCTTGTATTCAAGGTGTTATCTTTTTGTGTTTAAATGAAATAAAGATGTTGGTGATGGTCAGGTAGTTACTTTTCAAATCTTTGGAATTACATGTTGCTGCTAACCTTCAAACCAAGCTTAACCATGAATCTGCTTTTAGGGGCTCAATTTAAATTTGGTTAGGTTGTTCGATTTTAGTTTTTTTTTTCTTTTTCTTTTCTTGCCTTAAGTTCTCATGAATAGTTCATTGTTTTAAGCTTCCTTGAAGATTTATGTTAAACGAAACCATTAATGCTTTTTATTGGAGTCCTTAACTTTTTTGTCTTTGGGATTATACATCTATTTCTGGTATCTTGGTTTATTATTATAGACCATATCTATTTATCTAACTATGGCCTGCAATTTTGAAGATTTGGCACTCCTTATTTAGAGGCTGAAGCTGCTGTTTGTTATATTTAGCCCATACAAAATCTTACTATTACCTAGATGTTGTAGATATTACCATCTTTTGAGATGAGATTTTGTCTTGTATTTTCTTAGTGCTAAACTACTATTGTAGACTGGCCATATGCTGTTCGTGGGTGCATATATTTAGTTTTCCCTTCGCTCAAAATTTGTGTTGAAAAAAGAACTTTTTTTTTTTCTTCTGAGAGGAGTTTGGTCATTATTCATGTAATTTGTCATAGTTAATTACTAGATTTTAGTAATGCTTTCTTATTTATTCAACATAAATGAGTATTATGATTTAATGATTTGATTCAAGTTGATAAAATTTTGAATACATTTACAATAATGGAGCTTATGTTATATTAGAGGTGAATCGCTCATATCTAAAATTAAATTTTATTTCTTCCTTAAAAAAATTGGAATTTGTTTTATAAGGAGACACTATTCTTTTTCTTACTTTGAGCTTTAGATTTCGAAATGTAATGGTCTGCACTATTTGATATAATTGTTCTTTGGCATAGCTATTTGATTACCAGTATAATATGGGGCTTCTCCTCATTGAGAAGAAAGAGTGGGCTTCAAGGTACGAAGAACTAACGCAAGCATTAGATGAGGTAGAGGAGATTCTCAAACGTGAACAATCAGCAAATTTAATTGCTTTATCTGAAGTTGAGAAGAGAGAGGAAATGTTGAGAAAGGCTTTGAGTGTTGAAAAGCAATGCGTGGAAGAGGTATCCTTTCTTATTCTGCATTCTTTATGAAACTCACCTTTGATAATAAGTGTTTATTCTTCTCTAATTCTTGGGTTGATCATATTTTTCTTTTGATGCTCTAATAAACATGCTTTTATTTGGTTTTAGTTTGTGATATTTAGATCCAAAGCTAGTATATCATTAGAAAAACTAGCATAATTAGCTCTGGCCATTAGGTTGACATACTATGTATGTCATGTAATTTAGTTATAATAGACTTCCTTTCCCTTACACTGCATGATGCATGAAACGTTTGCTAGTGAAAGAAGTAGCTGATGTTATTCTAGAAGCTTTTATTTTCATGCTTGATCTCTTTGTCCTTATCTGTATGTTTGTGTCACTATAAAGTCTTTGATGGATATTTGTTAGTCATTATACTGAAATTTTCTGTCTCGGTGTTGGTGTCATGTTATACCTTTCTTGCTGCAGCTTGAAAAGGCTTTACGTGATATGCAAGAGGAGCATGCACAAATGAAGCTTACATCTGAAAATAAGTTGTCGGATGCAAAAGATTTGGTGGTTGGAATTGACGAGAAATTATTGGAGGCAGAAGAAAAGATGCGTGTTGCTGAAGCTCAGCTTGCAGAGGTAAATAGAAAGAGTTCTGAGATGGACATAAAATTGCAGGAGGTGGAGGCTCGTGAAAATGTGCTTCAGAGAGAGCATCTGTCTTTAATTGCAGAGTATTTTCCCTGCTGAACCGATTTGATAAATATCATAGTGACTCTGGTTGTCCTACATTTTCTCTCAGCATGTGACTCACTTCATATGGAAATTTTCATTTATTTTGTGTTTTCCTTTTTGCTGCTTTTAGGCGAGAAGCACATGCAGCAACTTTCTACAAGCAGAGAGAAGACCTGCATGAATGGGAAAGAAAACTACAAAAACAGGAAGAGCAGTTGTCTCAACTTAGAAGAAACATTAAAATGAGAGAGGAAAAAGAAAATGAAAATGACAAGATTCATAAGCAAAAAGAGAGGGACGTTGAAGAGTTGCAAAGGAAGATTGATTTTGCAAGCTCAACATTGAAGGAGAAGGAAGATGATATAAACTATCGGCTAAAAGATTTAGATGTGAAAGAAAAAGTGAATTCCTTATCTGTTAAAACTATTGAAAGTTTATAAATGAGTTCATGCATAATACTTCATTTGTTAATTTTGTACAGGCAGCTAATTCCATGAGGAGCGCACTTGAAATGAAAGAGAAGGAATTGTGTGTATTGGAAGAAAAGCTTACTGCTAGGGAAAGAGTGAGTCTAAACACTTGATTGTCTTTCGTACTCAATAAGATGTGGTGAAGATAATGTAGTTGCTATACATTGCATTAAATCATTTATCCTGTTTGGATTAGTGTCTTAATGAGCGCATGACATGAATATATGTATGTATATGAGTATGGCACTAGTGGAAACTTATTGGATTTGGTTGTAGAGAAGATGGAATTAGTAAGAGGGATGAAGAGGGAGAAATAAAGGGGGTAAAGGTGAAATAAAGCATTACAATTCGAAGAGAAGAAGAGTTGAAAACGTTTATTAGAGCTAGCTGGCTAGAAATGGGGGCTAGATAGCTTGGTAACAGGACACGTACTAAAAAGTGTCATGATGTGTGAATGTAATTTTCAGTGTTTATATTAGCTGAAGTATTTTGCTTTTTTTCTTTTTTAAAAAATGGGCTTAGTTGTTTTATTAGTTCCTAAAAAAATTATTTAGTTAGACATAATTCCCAGTTTCTTGTTGTATACTGGACGGGCTATTTTCAAAGAAAATGACAGTGCAAGTAAGAAATCCGTAGAGAGTGATTTCTTAAGACCAGGTCATTGTATAGTCTTCAAGTAGAAAGTCACTTCAAGAGCTTTGCTGATTAACAGTGGTGCTTGTAGTAAAAAAGTTAGAAATTTTTACTGATCATCTTTCAAGTTATGATCCTTTTGCTTTTTAGCAATGGTCCTATAAGTCTCTTTCTTGGAAATAATAGGAGAAAATTATATGTTTCAATATACTAGGTATTATCTTGCATGTATTTCTTAAACTAGAGCAGTTAATATGTTATACAGAAAATTTTTAAACAAGAAAGAAGGTTTACTGTGCATGCTGACATGTAGAGAAGGGTATGCCTTTCCTCAAAGAGGAGACGTTCACGTGAATGGTGTCCTTTTACTTCTCCTCCCATGTTGTAAGACTATTTCAGTGATCTAAAGTTTTGTTTTGCTTTTGAGTTTTTTGACAGGGGGAGATTCAGAAGCTGCTTGATGATCAACGGGCTCTGCTGGATACTAAAATGCAGAAATTTGAGTTGGAACAAGAAGAAGAAAAGGAATCTCTGGACGAGGAACTGAGAAAAAGGATAGAGGTTGTAGAACAACAGGAAGCTGAAGTTAACCACAAGGAAGAAAAATTGAGAAAAAGAGAGCAAGCATTGGATAAGAAGTCAGAGAGACTGAAGGAGAAAGAGAAGGACTTGGAAGCGAGGTTGAAAACTATTAAAGAGAAAGAGAGGTTTTTGAAAGGTGAGGAGAAAATGTTTGAGTTGAAAAAGCAACAATTAGATACTGCTAGAGAGAGCCTGCAGGATCTCAAAGAGGAGATTGATAAGATTGGGGCTGAAAGTACTCGGCAGGAGTTGCAGATTCGTGAAGAGTATGAACAGCTTAAAATAACTGAAGAAGAGAGAGCAGAACACCTCCGGTTACAGTCAGAACTGAAACAACAGATAGAGAAATGGCAACATCAGGAAGAGTTGCTTTTAAAGGAACGTGAAGATCTGAAACAGGATAGAGAAAGTTTTGAAAAAGAGTGGGAAGCCCTGGATGAAAAGAGAGCCAAAGTTTTGAAAGAGCAAAAAAGTATAGCAGAAGGAAAAGAGAAGTTTGAAAAGTTCCAGCTATCAGAAGAAGAAAGATTAAAGAAAGAAGAATCATCAATGAATGATTATATTAAGAGGGAGTTGGATAATATTAGATTGCAGAAAGAATCGTTTGAAGCTGAAATGAAGCATGAGCGATTAGTTTTATCTGAAGAAGCTCAAAATGAACAGAGCAAGATGCTTCAAGATTTTGAAACACAGAGAAGGAATCTTGAGACTGAGATGTGGAGAAGGCAGGAAGAAAATGAGAAATATCTACAAGAAAAAACATCAGAATTTGAGGAGAAGTGCAAGAAAGAAAACTATAATATTGATCGTCTGAAGGAAATTGCTCGGAGGGAAATTGAAGAAATAAAGATTGATAGTCGAGCGTTGCAGAAAGAGAAACAAGATATTCTGATAGATAAGGAGAAGCTAAAAGAACAGCAACTTGAAATGCGTAAGGATATCAAAGAGCTTGGTAATCTTAGTAGCAATCTCAAGAAAAAGCAAGAACAATTTATCCGTGAAAGAAGTCGCTTCTTAGTATTTGTTGAGAAACTTAATAATTGTAGTGACTGTGGAGAAATTACTAGAAACTTTATAATCTCTAATCATATTCGGGATGCCCTTCCTCCTGATGTTAGAAATGTTGACAGATCCCCTGATGTAGTTGATCTGGGAGATGCGAACTCCGGAGGGCAGCATGTGTCTTGGCTTCAGAAGTGCACGTCTAAGATTTTTAGCATATCTCCTACTAGAAAGGGTGAGCGCATTTCTGTTTCTCATTTGGCAGAACATATGCCTTTGTCTGTGGAGGCTAGTATTGAAAGAAAAGTGGATGAGCCTGGTATGACCATCAGTAATGAAGATAGAGATCTTGGTACTGGCTCTTTTGATGTTCAACCACCCACATCCGAAAACACAATCAGGGACTTGGATGATGCGTGTACTCAGTCTTTTGATGATAATAGCTGTATGGACAGTAAGAGACAAGAACCTCCGGAAGATTCCCAACAATCAGAGCTGAAGAGTGGCAGGGGCAGGCGTGGTAAGAAGCCCAAACTGGCATTGAATAGAACTCGCACAATGAAGGCTGTGGTTGAAGAGGCAGAGTTGTTTCTCAAGGACAGCTCTAGAGGACTGGAGCAGAACACAACTGTACAGCCTAATGACATTCCTCAGGAAAATGAGGAGAGCATGAGTGTTTCTGGACGAGTTGAGAAGGCAGCTAGTACTGTTGCAAGGAAGCGGCAACGTGCCCAAGGTTCTAAAATGACAGAAAGTGAGCAGGATGCTGTTGATAGTGATGGTCATTCAGATAGTGTGACAACTGTTAGGCGCAGGAAGAGGCGACAGACAGTTGCTTCAGCCCTTCAAACTCCAGGGGAAAAGCGATACAATCTCAGACGACACAAGACGTAAGCTTCTAGTGTGAGTTTGTATGTTTTCTTCTTCTTCCTACTACTGGTAAAGTGACTGTTCATATGCTCGTGGCCATTTTATGTTCAAGTTCAACACGAGAAATATTCTGGACTAGGTATTGGCGATACGTTTTTCAAATGCTCCAGTAGATTTGGTTGAAGATCTTAACTAAATTCATCCACGTTTTCTATGGGAAAAAACCACCTTCAGTTGACTCACGTTTTAAGGGTTATGACATTAAAGAACTTCAAATGATGTGGGCGAAGTATCAATTCAAAAATCAAGCAACCATTGAGCTGTAAAATTGTGCCCGTCAAGTTTTGTAAGGCCTTGTTTTTTGGGTGCAAACTGGGCACCTTAAGTTCATGTTTTGGAACATATCCAAAAATTTTGTGAAATTAATTTCAAATTTTGACTTATTTTCAATTGGTAGAGAATGTAAATTATATTAGATGATGAAAAAAATTCACCTCATATGAAATTCTATTAAAATTTTGTATAAGGTCAATTTTTATCATTAGGGAGAATTTTTACCATCTTCCAATTACATAAGTGTGGATTTACAAATAAATTTTAAATTTTAAATTTATTCCAAATATAGACTAATTATTTAAGATAGCATTTTTTTTATAAAAAAAAACTAAAATGAAACAGGATTTCATAACTAAAAAATAAGCTTGATCACCTGAGTGGAGCCCTTTATATCATTGAAAAATTGTTTTTCCTTCACATTGTGGTTCATATTCATAAGAATAAATGTTGTGAGGAGCATATTAATGTTCCTTATTTTAGCAACCTTTATGTAGAAATTAATGATTTCCTTTGGTCTGTTATGTTTTTTTTTTCAATAACTAGGTTATATCTTACCATGAGAATAGACTGGAAGCAACTGAAATAGAATAGTATGACCGTAGGAAGCTTGGTTGCATAATTTGGAAATTTCTTGCTACTGCTTTACTGAGGGAGATAATGTGTTTTTTTATGGAATTTGATGTTGGCTTAACTGGTTTTTTCACTGGTTAATTTCCTTGTCTATAGTATCATCCTGTAATTAAAGAAATTAAAAATTGTGGGAGAAGTTAATCATTCTGAAATTTTATGTACATACAATCAGTGCTGGCAAAGTAGCAGCACAAACCTCTGCTGATCTGACGAAGACTGTGGAGAAAGAAGTTGGTGATGCAGAAGCAATTACGAATCCTGAAGCTGTCTCAGTTGATGTTGGTACTGAGAGTGGCAAATCTACACCCTTGGTGCCTGTTGGGAAATTAAATGTTGTGGATTTCTCTCAAGATAGGATTGTTAGGGTAAAATTCTCCTTGCCTTTTCCAGTGTGCTCTAATTGCTCTGTTATGGCCCTGAGCTAAGTAATAGTCTTGTTTTTTATTTCATGAGCCAGTTGAAAACAGCTGCAACGGAAAATACAAAGTCAGCAATTGCCAGGGATAATGCTGATATGAAGACAGTTGAAAATACTGAATTCAGTGAGGAAACAAATGATGCAACAGATTATGTGCAAGAGGATAAGAGTGGAAGCAGAGGCCAGGAGGAGGAAGATGAGTTTGATGATGAGTTTGAGCATCCTGGCGAAGTGTCTATAGGGAAGAGGATTTGGACCTTTTTCACAACCTGAGTTCTCTTTAAATTGTTATCATTTCTGTTGGCAAAAGATACATATGTTAGTTTCAGACGGTGAATTTTTCTTGTAATTTTTTCC